TTCATCCTCTTAAGCCTCTTAGAGAATCCAGGAGCCTCTGTTACTGTCTGATTGATGCTCATTGTATAACCCTTTAAGGACATCTGCTTCCTGGAAAGGAACAGTTGCTTTAAAGAATAGTGCCCTCTGGGCTGGGGATGTGGCTCAAACAGTAGCGGGCCCTGGCATGCGAGCGGCCTGGGTTCAATCCTCAGCACCACATACAAAAACAAAGATGTTGTGTCCGCTGAAAACTAAAAATAAATAAATAAATAAATATTTAAAAATTCTCTCTCTCTTTAAAAAAAAAAAAAAAAGAATAGTGCCCTTATTGTTGAGAATGTTGGGTCCTTTTCAGTTTGGTCCATTACAGCCTAATTGGGCAAGAGTCACTGTTGTCCCTGATACGTGGAGATACTCCAGCAGAGCACAGACCCAGGCCACTCCCCTGATTTATGCTGGATTTTTTCATATTAAATGGACAGAAGGAGCTAACTCCCATCGACCCAGACATGCTCATTTTATCTGCTTACTTTCCAAGATGATATATTTAGACTTAGTACCTAACTACTGAAAGAAGGCTGTGAAAAATATTTTATAGTATAGAGTTAAGATTCTTTAGCAACACATCCTCAATTGGCCTTGATTGGCATTTTTTTAAAAAAAAATTTGTTGTAGTTGGAGAGAATGCCTTTATTTATTTTTATGTGGTGCTAAGGATCAAACCCAGTGCCTCACACATGCCAGGCAAGCGCTCTGCCACTGAGCTACAGACTTAGCCCGATTGGCGTATTCTTGAGGCTGTGATGGAGACAGAAGCGGCTATGGGGTATTCACCAGCCATCTTGCCAGAAGATAAAGAACCCCAAAATGATGACACTTCACTTTGTGCCCCCACGCCCAAATGGTAAAATTAATCAGATGGATCTGACCAAAGCATGAACACATGAACATGCTTTGTTCATTTAGTGAATATTTATTGAGTACCTCCTCTGTATCGGGCACTGTGTTAGTGTTGGGATACATTATTGAACAAAAAGATCCTTGCCCTTGTGAAGCTATATAAACAATAAACACAATAAGTAAATTATATAGTATTTTAGAAGGTGATAAATAAATGCAACGTGAAAAAGCAAGAGTAGCTGGGGGTGGTGGAGCACTCCTGTAATCCCAGCGGCTTAGGAGGCTGAGGCAGCCAGCTTCAGCAATGGCAAGGCGCTAAGCAACTCAGTAAGACCCTGTCTCTAAATAAAATACAAAATAGGGCTGGGGATGTGGCTAAGTAGTTGAGTGCCCCTGAGTTCAATCCCTAGTACCCTCCCTCCCCCAAAAAAGCAAGAGTAGAGTAGGATAAAAGATATAGGTAGAGGGCAAATTGTATTAAATGGTGTGGTCAGGATAGGCTTCACTAAACAAAGAGCAGAGCAGGTAGCAGCTTTGCAGTTACCTGGGGCATTGCACTCTGAGTTCCAAAATAGCTAGTGCAAAAGCCCAAAGGTAAGGAGCACACCTGGGTCAAAGATCAAATTTGGCTAGTTCATCTGGGGAGACTGTAGAAATGGTGGGCCCTGAGTCCTTTTTACTTGTCTGCATAGCTTCCCCTCTCCCCTCAGGGCCATCACTAACCAGTCTTTCCCCTTATTTGCTGCTAATAGCAGGAAGCTTAGAGAGTGGCTGTCAGAAAGAGTGATGATTCCAGAAGACAATATACAGTTTATCAATATTGAATTTTGTAGTTTGCCTCTGCCACCAATGTTGTAGGGAGCTGGCCAGGCTTGCAATGTTATTTGATAATACAGTAATCATTATTTATATCGCAGCTCTATAGTGCCTCTACTACTGATAATGGCTCAGTGCCTAGGTGTTAGAGAGAGGAAACAGGCTCTAGAAGAGAAAGTGAACCATGTTGAAATGCATGACTCTGGCAAGTTGGATTTTGGCCTCTCTCTCTCTCTCACTGAAAGAGGACAGTTTAGCAAAGATGCCAATCAAGAATAAAAGTAGCTCTGAAATGCTTTCTTTAAAAATATCTTGGTTTTGTCTCTTGCTATTTCTGATTGGGAAATTGACTCTTCTTTGTCCCCTTTATCCTGTGGTCCTTCAGCTAAACAGTGATTAGCAGATGGACAGTGGGTCAAACTCTGAAGTTTGTCTGTCAGTCCAGTGCCAAGGGGAAAGAGGGAAGGAGGGAAGGAGACAGTGTCAGTGGTGCATTCCTAGACTTTTAGAGCTTGAAGGGACCTCATCACCTGGAAATGTGATGAAGATTTCTGGCAAATCAAATTGATTTAAAAGCTATTCTCTCTTTAAAATGGTGTGGTGATCCAGGTACTATGGTATAAATCTGTAATCCCAGCAACTTGGGAGACTGTGGCCTCAAGTTTGAGGCCAGCCTGGGCAACTTAGGTAGACCCTGTTTCATAATAAAAAAGGAAAAAGGCTGGGGATGTAGCTTAGTGATAAAATGCCCCTGGGTTCAATACCCAGTACCAAAATGATGATGATGATGATGATGATGATGAAGAAGAAGAAGAAGAATACCCAGTACCAAAATAATGATGATGATGATGATGATATAGTATGATGTATGTGATGATATCTTATGAAGAAATATATTCCCACTTGTTAAAGAATGTATGAAATAGAGCAGGCTCATACCATAGGATCCAAAAAGAAAAAGCAATTGGTTAAAAAGCAAATGAGTAGCGCCTTGTGTTTGCTAGCTCTTTTTAAAATTTTATTATGAGACAGGGTCTCACTAAGTTGCTAAGTCTTGAACTTGCTGCCTTTCTGCCCCATCCTCCTTAGTAACTTGGATTACAGGTACATGCAACCACACCCAGTGCAAAAATAATTTAATAATGTTCTGCAGCCTTTACAATGAGCCCAGTCTGTACCTATCACAAGTTTTCTCCAGCTCCACAAAGTGCCATGCAAGAAAAAATGGGCAGACGTTGTGGCAAGAAGGAAGGGTGATGTTCAAAAGTTCAGCAGCGCCTACTGGGGGTGTGGGGTTGGTCTCCTCATCCTAGTGAGTCAAGTGTCCCTGTGGGTTTAGGACAACCTATCTTCTTGAGGATTCTGAAGAAGTTAAATGACCTCAAGGACCCCAGATACCAAAGTAAGAATAAAAACGGGAAAAATTGGGGCTGGGGATGTGGCTCAAGTGGTAGCATGCTCACCTGGCATGCGTGGGGCGCTGGGTTTAATCCTCAGCACCACATAAAAATAAAATAAAGATGTTGTGTCCACCGAAAACTAAAAAATAAATATTAAAAAATTCTCTCTCTCTCTCTCTCTCTCTCTTAAAAAAACAAAGAAAGAAAGAAAAGGGGAAAATTGCTAGAAATATAGCAGATGTCCCAGGAGACATTTGGAGTTTCCAGACCAGAGTAGTATTTAGGTTGTGATGGAAGTAGAAGCTTTGGGTTGATGTCAGTGGTATATAATTGGGGGAATCCTAGAAGAGAGGACAGAGATGGCTTAGAACTGAAGTTCTGACTTGAGGCTATCAAGAACACTTGGGACAATTTTGTACAACATAGATTTCTAGGCTTCTGCCCTCACATTCCCCCGTCTCACAGGGATACAGAATAGTCTCTAGGGGCAGGTAGATGCTTCAGGGTTCCAAAGGCAGGGGTGAAGGTAAAGGGCAGGGGTGAAAAAAGACCAGGCCCAAGCCTCAGTAAATGAAAGAGCGGGGCTGGGGTTGTAACTCAGTGGTAGAGTGCTTGCCTAGCACATGTGAGGCACTGGGTTCAATCCGCAGCACCACATAAAAAACAAATATATCAAATAAAGGTATTGTGTCCATCTACAACTAAAAAAATATATATTTAAAAAAATAATAAAAGGAAAGGGGGGTTCTGTGTGAGATTTTTTAAGAACTATATACAACTGATAAATCCCATGCTGGCCTGTTTTTTTGTTTTTTGTTTTCCAATAAGAAATGGGGAAACAGTGCTAGGCTAGAGGTCAAGAGATCTTTCTCTTAATGTCAGTGCTGTTATTCAGTGGTTTTGTGACCTTGGACAAATCACTTTACCTTTCTGAATTTCAGTTGCTTCTACTTTAACACTAAGAAGTTAGAATTGATGATTGCTAAGGCCTTTTTCCAGCTCTGAAAATATGGGTCTGAGATTCAAAAGAGTGATTGGATTAATCCACCATGAGCTGTTTTGATACCTTCCTGCATTACATTTAGAAGACAGCCTTTCTACTGGCCTTTTATTTAGGGCTAATCCATTTCCAGCTTCCAGGTCAGCACCTCCCCTGCTTACTTGAGTGTGTTTTCCCTAGAGCAGAATACTTCCTCTGTGGGAGTAGAATTAAAAATTAAGGGCTGGTGTGCATTTCAGTGGTAGAGCACTTATCTCTTATGCATTAGGCCCTGCGTTCAATCTCTAGAATGGGGTGGGGGAATTCAATTAAAAAGTAGGGGTCCCATGATCAGATGATCTTGGGAATCAGTGGGTTAAATGCTGTCAAGTTTCTTTTTTTTTTTTCCTTTCCTTTTTTACAGACTTCTCAGAGCCTCTAACAGGGTGCAATGGTGTGGGGGAATTCAATTAAAAAGTAGGGGTCCCAT